ATTCCAGTGCGAAATATCGTATTCCAAACTCACATCTTGTAAAAGTATAGACTTGTCTCAAAAACGGAAATTGTTTGAAATCATCAGGTGTTTAATTTTTTAGTGTTTTTAGTTTTTGTGTTTCTATTCATACGTTCGTCCTATTATTACCATACTGACTCGTTTTATGACAGTTTATCTTTGATGCAAATGAATACACGAAATATCATTTATCTGAACTGCGGAGAAAGATATGAAGACATGATTGATCATCACAATCAAAACCCAACAGCCTGAAAAAAATTAATCTGTAACCAGCTCCCAGTTGGCTTGATATTATAAAAGAATAAAGGAATATCACACCTGAATTAAATAAAACGTTCTGCTCACAGTAGTCACTCTAGTGCAATTTGCTCAACAAAATTTTGAATTTTTTCCCTTGATCCGATCCATAATCCGGTCCGGTCCGATCCAAATTTTGTCGACGCCGCGTAAAATAACATTGTTTTTGAGTACGTACGACGTGCTTCATTGTAAATTTATCGTAATCGCCAACTAATTTGAATTCTAGCATTGAACATGTTAACAGCTGAACAACTCTGAGCTTGTCAGCTTTTCTTAAAAGGGATCTTCATTGGTCAACGAGTGATATCTCAGTATTAAGAATGACAGATACGAGTTACAAAGTTAAAATTTCACTGCAGCCTTGTTGTGGAAGACGAGCAGGTTTTATTCTTTACCACCTACGCCCTCTTTAACGGTTAAAGAAGAAAGGGAATACAGCTATGTTTAAACGGTTTATCGATGCTTTTCAGTCGAAGAAAAGTAAGAGAGGATTTTAATTAATGCAACTCTTGACAAATCGGCTGATTTATTAAAACGGCTGTTTTGTTTCCTTGCAGATCAAGATGCCGCGGTAGATCAACCACAAAGCTCTGCCCCTGAGAAAGCAAACGAGACCGAACCTCGAGAGGATCCTCTGGGCGCTGAATCGAGAGAAGTACTGCGGGAAATCCCTTTAGATCACGACGAAGAACCAGCTAATCAAGCTGAAGAGGAGACGAGTAAGGACGAAGGAGTCGTACAGGAAAGCCAAGCCGTGGATGAAAGCACGGCTCCTAAAGACGAAGGTGATCAGCAAGTGAAGGAAAGTGAAGAGGAAGCGGGGACATCAGAGCAAGCCCCACCAGCGGAAACTAGCGGTGAAGATAAAACTGATGGAGAACACGCAGGAGAACAGAGTGAAGCCGAAAAGCCAGCAGAAGAAAGCGCAGTAGGTGAAGGCGAAACAGAAGCGCAAAAAGAAAGTGAACAGACTGCGCAAGTGGAAGAAGAGAAACCATCCGAAGGAGAAAACGCGGAGGAAACGCAACCTGCACCCGAAGAATCGAAACCCGCAGATGAAGATGCACCACCCGCGGACAGTGAATCGCAACCGGCGGCTGAGGAATCGAATCCTGCGGCCGAGGAACCACAAGCTGAAGAACCGTCAGGAGAAGGAGAAGGACAAAAGAGTGAAGACGTCCAGCCTCAGGAAGAAACACCAGCGAGTGAAGACAGTTGAGAAATTTTTAGCCCGGTTAAAACTACCATTGTTCACAGTTCCATTTTTACCACTTGAGTTTTGTTTTTTGTATGTATGTACACATTCATTTAGAGATACAGGCACAATCTAGAAGTCTGATAAATCTGAATAATTCATCAGTCAAGAGTCAAATTGGAGAAGGGGGAAGTTTACATTTAAAAGGAGCTTATTAGAAACGATCAAGTTAGTATTTAGACTAAAGGCATTTTCCTACAAAAATCGACTGCTTGCAGTCTAAGGCGGAAAGCGCGGGAAAATTCATACTCGCCAAATCATGAATTACTTTGATTTCGCATCTGATTGGCTAAGAAGGCAACATCTTCGTTCTGATTGGCTAGTCAAAGCACGATGCACGACCCAACTTATCAAACAGGATTTCTTTAGACAGCCACTGTATATAAAACGATCCAATATCCCGCTTACAGTTTATTAGAGAAGCAAAGTACTGTATTATAATTAATGAATTAGAGAGTATTTTCTAATTGTCAAGAAAACCCGCTACGAGGATTGCCTATTCCAACTTGTTACAGGCATTCGGTAAGTCGGAGAGCAGCGCGAATTCGGTATTTCTTTTTTTCGCTATTTCTATTATTCTTTAAGCAACCCACGCCTGGAACAGGCTAACAAAAAGAGAGTTGATCACTCAAAGAGATAGATAGAAAAAGGACAACTAAACTTTTCATTTTTTCATAGCGCGATAATTTTATTTCTCTCTTGTGTGAAAAGTGTAGTTTATAAATCCCAAGAAATCGTTTCAACAGAAAACATTTAAAAGATTACTAGGATCAGGGCGGTGTATGATATAACTTTAAAGTGTGATTAGTAAAAAACGCTAGTTAATTAATTTTTCAATTTCAGCCAGATTATAGTTATTTTATATAATTTCAGATTTTAAGTGGCCCATACGTATAGCAAAATTAGTATTTGATGATATTTTGAGAAACAGAAACTTTCAATGGAAGAATACAAAGATGCAATGTTATTTCTGAATCAAAACGTCTCAATTTCAAATAAAATAACTTAACCCAGTGGATATCGTTCATTGGTAGAATGCAATAAAAGTGTTGGGTAAATGTTCTACCAAAGTAATGAATTGAACGTTGTAACCCCGATGTTGTAGACAGCTCCTGGTTGGAATTTGGGCCTAAAATCCGGTGGACTCTGAATCGTTGCTCGCCAGGAATTCGATAAATTTCGACCATGGGCCCGTTTCTCGAAAGCTTCGGAAACTTTTCGGGCCCGTAAAGCCATTTTTAGTTCATCTGTATCTAAATTCGGAGAAGTGTATACGCCTGAAACTTCTTGTATAAAGGAAACCTCTCTTCATATTAAGAATATGCGAATAAAACAGCTCGGTAATCGTAAGGTTCGAGATTTTGCTATGGCTTAACGGACCCGAAAAGTTTCCGGTGCTTTCGAGAAACGGGCCCCAGATGTTTTAATTTCTCAACTCACAAAAAGATGGCAAGTCCTATTACGTCGCGAAACCGTGAAAGGAGGGCCGTGAAATAATTTAATCTCTACATATAAACATGACGAACGACAGCAACAGAATCTCTATTATTTCAAAATTTCTTTCAACGGAGAAATTTGAAGACGTAGCTTTATTTNTTATCAGTGGCTAATTCTCGGCTACATTTTCGTGTCAGATGTGAGCATTACAGTTGGCGTTACAGTTAATTAGAAAACTTACGTACGAAAGCTTAAGGACATGACTTGCTTTAAAGGAGCTATGTCATGATTTGCACATCTTGAAAAAACTAGCCTAGTTTTTCAAGTTCGTCATTTGCAATCCCCGTTAATCTTTGCCATCCTTAACGATCCTCACTCCATTTTGATTTGTTCTTGCCTCTTAAGTGTTTTCTATCCTAGAACACGATCATTTTAAGATTTTATTCTATTTAAAGGCAACTCTTTACGACCCTAAAATAACTCTAAAAATCGTGAAGTAACTCCTAAAATGTTGTTTATTCTCGGGTTGCGTTATCGTTCACACTATCAATGTTATTCCTATGATTTTTTGTAAAACAGCTATATTTCCTTGAAATACAAATGGTTTGTTTCGTTTTATTCAAGTGCAGAATATCGTATTCCAAACTCACATCTTGTAAAAGTATAGACTTGTCTCAAAAACGGAAATTGTTTGAAATCATCAGGTGTTTAATTTTTTAGTGTTTTTAGTTTTTGTGTTTGATCTATTCATACGTTTGTCCTATTATTACCATACTGACTCGTTTTATGACAGTATACCTTTGATGCAAGTGAATACACGAAATATCATTAATATCTGAACTGCGGAGAAAGATATGAAGACATGATTGATCATCGCAATTATACAAACAACTTGAGCAGTTGTGAAATTAAAGCCTGAAAAAAAATTCAGGCCTGAACGGGATTCGAACCCATGACCTCTGCGATACCGGTGCAGTGCTCTACCAACAGAGCTATTACGCCAACTGGGAGCTGGTCACATTGTGAGTTTGTAATATACCCATAGATGGTGAAGAGTGCAAGTGAATATACAAAATATCATGTAGTTGAACTGCGGATGAAGATATGAAGACATGATTGATCATCGCAATCAAAACCCAACAATCTGAAAAAGATTCATCTGTGACCAGCTCCCAGTTGGCTTGATATTATAAAAGAATAAAGGAATATCACACCTGAATTAAATAAAACGTTCTGCTCACAGNTCATGTAAAGCCAATTGATGCTCTGCTCTGTCCAATCGACGCTCGCACTCACGAGACGAAGAAGAGTTGACCCTGAAATCATGACCATTTGGTGTCGCGGCTGATATCTTCAGATGGGCCAGTTCACTTTGCAAGTTGTTGACTTTTTCTTCGTGTCTTTTTATCGCGTTCATAATCTCCTCCATCTGAGAAGAGACCACATCTGCGTTTGCACCACTTGGGGTCACTGAAGTTTTCAAGCCGCGAAGAAGGTTTTCAATTTCTTTCTTTTGTTCAAGTACTGACTTTTCTATAATGGATATTTTTGTGTGCTGCGTTTGTATGTTCTGTCTGGCAGCCGCTAGTTCTCCGGTTTGATTTTGAAGTTGTTGCTCCAAAGTCCTTTTCTCGTTTTCCAGATGAGAGACTTTCTCTTCCATCTCTTTGTTCTTCTTGCTTTGCTCGTGAGTTGAGTGGTTCATCATATCCAGATGGGACTCAATACTGGACTTAATATGTTGATCAAGGTTTTCTGCATTTCCCTGTAAAAAATTATCAGAACTATTACAAATGATTTGTTTCCGCCTTATATGACTTTCCGCGACAATAACAAGAACATTGACCCATGCCTTACTTAATAATTAAGTGTCTTTGGTTTTGACATTTAAAGAACATGTGCGGTCGCATCGCTTTCCAGAAAATGGGTTTACTATGCTCTATGCGCAAGTTTTTAGCAACCTACCCCACGTCTTCGAAGGGTAGCAAGTTAAATCATTCCTTGTTTTATGATCTAAAGTTATCGATTAAACATCAGGAAGAACTATAGATGGGATGTCAGCCCATCGCTGAACAAAGAAATTTGCTGAAGTGAGTCTCTGACAACAATCAAGGTCTTGAAAGGGGGAATTAAACCCATCTCCCTACAATTAGCTTTACAAAGACAAATACATAATAAAGAATTAAACAATAAACTCACCTTAAATTCACAGCCGTGACAACTGAAAGGACAAAGATGTTCTGCTTTTGGGCAGTGAGTGGTCACGTGCTCCTCCATCATGCCACGCGGTATATCTTCTTTGCCACAGCTTAGGATGCAGCTGATGGGAAACTTGAGACAAACCTCCAAATGATCCTAAAAATATTGTACAATTTGATTAATCTAAGCTTTCTACGACCTCAATTCAGTTTATAGCAAATGTTCTAGTCGGTTCAGCATCTGTACATGTTTAACATGAGTTTGCATTACTTGAAAGGGTGTGCTATGGCTGTTTTGTCCGGCATTAATCTTTAATCTTTAATCTTTAATCATTATTTATACACGGTAAAAACATTAGGTAGAAAAAATTACATGATGATGACTAAAAATCCAAATCCTAACATTATATTAACTTACATTAATATGCCACTTAAGAAAAATCCTGGTTTCCATGAATGCCGTGTTTACAAATTATGGTAGAGAAGGCGTTTTGAGCATTTTGAGCTTGCTGTCTCTAACCCAGTTTTAGTTTCAAGATTATGTTTATTCTATAAAAATGCTCGTGGCCTGATTGCATCTAAGCCATCTGGTTAGAGTATACGTTTATGCTCCTCGTGGCCATTGTTATTTGGTCTCTTAACTGGCTTTATCCAGCATTCATATTTGTAAGTGGATAGCCGTTCGAAGTTGAATTGGGAGTCCAATATTAACAAGTTGACAAATTTGGCCGGAGCGTCTCTCAGAAGATTTGCACCCTTTTCCCCGGGAAGTAAGCACAAATAAGTGTATGGTGTATAAATTCGTGGAATGGTGGTTTTTCATTTGCTAGGTGGTGCTGGGCAATAAATATTTTCGTACGTGAAGAGAGGGGCACTTCACAGAGGCGTTAAGCTCTGTTTATGTAAATTGCCGGCTGCACTACACCAACACATGCAATTTCATACCTTCATGTTGCTTTGACGAACCTCGCCACCACAGTATGCGCAGGCAACAGCCCTGTTTACACAGTCATTTTCTCTGTGCCGTTTGAGATGTCCTCTTTCCATGGTTTCACCACAAGCTGCACACTGTGCGTCACCATACTGGCAGCTTTCCTTGTGTGCCTGTTGCAATATATTAAGTTTTAAACATTGGTACGTCCGATGACTTTTTAAGCATAAAGAGGTTATGAGACTATGAGTCATGAAGTTAGGGTTCTTTGAGATACTTTTTGATAAACGGTCATATACATTTAACCATGCAAAAGATATATCTTTGCTTCATACGTATTCTTCTTTGCAGCTGCTCGGGCTGAGGTCACGCAATGTTCCCGAAGCGTTGCGCGACTTTCCACCAGAACAACTCATCATTAATTATTTTTACAGCCATTATAAAGGACCGGCTGAAATGACATCGAGTAACCTTCCTTGGAACATTAAATTACGATTTTTTACGGCCTAAACAAACCTCTTCATTCTCCATCGACAAGGAATAAAATGTGTTTTGAGCTTGATCAAATATGCTGGGAAACCGCTCGCGATCCGAATGTTCTCGAGCGAGCTTGTTTTCTCACAGCTAATACTGACTCTTGTTAAAGCCTCATCAATAGTTTCTTAGGTAGGGATTTCCCGTAAAAGGAAATTTTAAGTGGGAATTGCTCTTTTAGTAGTAAAAGCGCCCTAAAATAATATCATGGCTGATCGTTCATATAAAGTACCTTTAAGTGCCTGAATTCTCCCTTCCAGTCACAACTTCTTTCCTTGTATCGACAGAAACACTGAAGATTAAGTACTTCTCTCTCACAACATTTGTCTCGGAAAGATTCATCTCGGGATATCGGTTTCCCATCGATTGGACATTTGGGATTCCCCAGCCTCAAAAACGTAAGAAAGTGAGCAACTGAAATTAGTTTATTACCGGAAACAATTACGTAGTTTATCACCGGGATCCCGCGACCGGAATACAGTTATACTTGCGTAAAGCCGGCTTTATATCTCTGTCCACATACGTACATTGATTTGCGAGACTTACCCAAGGAGACCTTCAAAACAGTTTTTACAGAATCGATGCCCACACGATGTCTGCCAGGGTTCAAAGAAAACGTTCTTGCAGATTGGGCATTCAAGTCGTTCGTCTAGTCTGTTGACGAATTCTATTTGAGAAGTGGACCTGTAATCGGCAGCGACAACCATAGTGTATTCGCTCATTACAGAATTGTTTCTTAACCCAGATTCAATATGACGTTGCGATCCTTGCGTAAGTTTTATTGCTTATATAGATAGATATATATATATATATATATATGATATATGTGTGTGTACTACGTGCCTTTTTTCTATTCAATATTGACGGATGTTTACGTGCGTAATGAAATATGCTAATTAAATTCGTCCCCAGATTTTTGCGTATGTATTTTTGGCATGACTAAACAATGACATCACCGACTATTTTGAACACTGTTGTCTCCACACAACTTATTTGCGCAACGTGCATGACTCAGTGAAGAGTCATTAAAGTAACAGTCTCGCCACAAAGCAATATTAACTGTGGCCCTGAACTATTTCATTTTCAAGAAAGCATGTTTAATCAATTCATAAAACCACAAACCTGGAGCACCACAAGAAGGACACTGGAAGGAATGAGTAACGTCATCAGCTGTTTCTAGAGGATTGTGCTGACGTCATCAATTATTTCGCAATGCAATATGCAAATAAAGTCTGTGCCTAGGAGCCGGAATATTCCAGTCTGCTCCGGATAGAAAATGGAAACATTCCTTATTGTAGATACGATCGGGAACATAATGCTTCTACACAGCCTGCTAGCAAGATTCCTCACTCCAAGAGAGCTTGCTCATTGCGGAGTAACTAATAGTTTCTGGAAGGAGGCTGAGTCTTCTGAGGCTCACTGATCTAAATGTCTCAGTTACCAGGTCCTATTTCTTTGTTAAAATTTCGATGTGTTCATATGAGTTTAGGNTGTGTCTGTTGGAAGATATTAAGTTTTTAAAATTTGTACGTCCAAAGACTTTTTATGCATTAAGAAATTACGAGACCTATGAGTCATTAAGTTAAGGTCCTTTGATATACTTTTTGATAAACGGTCATATACGTTAACCATGCAAAAGATATATCTTTGCATCATACGTAGTCTTCTTCGCAGCTGCTCGGGCTGAGGTCACGCAATGCTCCCGGGACGTTGCGTGACTTCCCTAGACTAAGCCGGAGGCGTCACGAACCTGAACAACTCATCATTTTACAGCCATTACAAAAGACTGGCTGAAATGACATCGCGTAACCTTCCTTGGAACGTCAAATTACGATTTTTTTACGGCCTAAACAAACCTCTTAATTCTCTATCGGTTTGCCGACAAGGAATAAGACACGTTTTAAGCTTGATCAGATATGCTGGGAAAACCGCTCGCGAATGTTCTCGAGCGAGCTTGTTTTCTTACGGCTAACACTCACTCTTGTTAAGGCCTCGTCAATAGTTTCTTAGCACCGGGTAGGGATTTCCCTTAAAGGATGGTACGAAATTTTAAGTGGGAATAGCTCTTTTTGTAGTAAAACTGCCCTAAAATAATATCATGGCTGATCGTGTATATAAAGTACATGTACCTTTAAGTGTCTGAATTCTCCCTTCCAGTCACAACTTCTTTCCTTGTATCGACAGAAACACTGAAGATTAAGTACTTCTCTCTCACAACATTTGTCTCGGAAAGATTCATCTCGGGATATCGGTTTCCCATCGATTGGGCATTTGGGATTCCCCAGCCTGAAAAACATAAGGAAATGAACAACTGAAATTAGTTATTAACGCAAACAATTACTTACGTTTATTACCATTATCCCGCGACCGGAGGATACTTGTGTAAAGCCGGCTTGTCATCTCTGTCTGCACACGTACATTGATTTTCGAGACTTACCCGAGGAGACCTTCAAAACAGTTTCTACAGAATCGATGCCCACACGATGTCTGCCAGGGTTCAATGAAAACGTTCTTGCAGATTGGGCATTCAAGTCGTTCGTCTAGTCTGTTGACGAATTCTATTTGAGAAGTGGACTTGTAATCGACAACCATAGTGTATTCGCTCATTACAGAGGTGTTTTAACCCAGATTCAATATGACGTTACGATCAGCACACACATATATAAGCAGTACGGATGCACGTATCAGTTTGTGTCACGATTAATTACGTCACCAGTTTCTTTGTATAGGTTTTTTATAGCATGAAAAGAATGACATCATCGATTACGTCGAACAATATTGTTCAGCTAGTAGCCTGCGAGAGCTTGCGAGAAAGCTGTCGATCTACACGTAGGTATGTTTCCATCTGTAAGCCTTCTAAACCAGTTTTAGCGAGTGCACTATCGACGAGAAGAATAAGTTCCATGGATCGTGAGTATTTTATGCGATTTTTGAGCAGTCATGCTGCATTGCGAATATTAGATCTGATCATTGTTTGTATCGGTGAACGTCAGCGAATTTAGAACAATTGGATTAACTTATTCGCGTAACGTGCAGTGACTCAGTGAAGACATAGTCATTAACAGTGTTGCCACAAAGCAATATTAACTGTGGCCCTGAACTATATATTTCACAACTCGTGGCCGATCAGCATTTTGAAGAAAGCATCTTTAATCTTTTCATAAACCCACAAACCTGGAGCACAAAAAGAAAGAATAATGTCCCCAGCTGTTTCTTGAGGATTGTGCTGACGTCATAAATTATTATTCACGTTTCACATTTCGCAATGCAATATGTAAACAAAGTCTGTGCCATCGAGCCGGAATTAATTCCAGTCTATTCTGGATAGAAAATGGAAACATACGTCAACGTAGATACGATCAGGAACATAATGCTTCTACACAGCCTGCGAGCAAGATTCCTCACTCCAAGAGAGCTTGTTCACTGCGGAGTAACTAGTGGCTTCTGGAAGGAGGCTGATAGACTAGCCACAAGTCGACCTCTTGAATTTTAGAGTAGAATATGTCAGGCCGCGAAGCGAGGTAGAATATGGTGTTAAGGTCGCGAAGCGGCCGAGCGAGCGACGAAGTCCAGCGGGTACTGAATAAACAAGACGAAGGACTTTTCAGAAAGTCTAGGAGGTTGAATCTTCCGAGTCTCACTAATCTAAATGACTGCTTACTAGGTCCTATTTTCTTTGTTAAAATTTCGATGTGTTCATATGAGAAGGCAGGCCGGACCGGGATGAAAATTTTCCCATATGAACACTTAAGCCCGAGTAACCGGGACGAAACTTTTTAATTTTGACAAAATAGCTTCGCTTTCGCAACGTATAGCGACCAAAATGACATAATTTTTGCCTTGTATGTATTTTCCCTTCAGAAGTATGCGAATTAGCTTTAAGTTAAGAAGGCTACGATAATCGCGCAACTGTATGTAGCGCCATTTTGGTATTGTTTCTTGAATGTCATCCCAGTCGGTCGGGCTAAAATGACAACAAAATTCGTCTCGGTAACTAAGCTGTAGCTGGTTACCGAGCTTATGTGAAAAGACCCTTAGTTCATAGCTACGTAATAAAAGGATCGGTCCAGCCATCAGAAACTTACATGTAATGGAACGCAGAACCCAAACAAGAGAACCGTGCGTCCTACAGTGTCGCTTCGCGACTGAATTGTTTTATTATTCTAAAAATATATTACGTATTATCAGATTTCAGAAGCTTAAACGTTGCTGACACGGAAGCAATGCCCGCGGAAATTCTCTAAATACAGTCTCTGAACTACCAACTAATAAAATACCGAAAATTTTCGCCTATTAAATTCATCCAGTGGTTCTATATACATTACATTTATCCCATCTACTAGTATTTTGTCATAAGTAGTCACGCACGTACATGTACAATACAATGTGCGCAAGTATTACCTGTAACCCACCGATAAATGCATTCTGTTTTATTAGGGATTTAAAACAAAAATAGAAACAAACAAACAAAAAATACGTATATTGGTCAAAACAGAAAGCCCTTAGAATGTCTTGGAAACGATATCAACCCGGGGATTCGAACCGTGCGTTTCGGTGCTCCTCTAAAGTTAGATATAAACCAGGACAGGACCAGTAGCGAGTTCTATATATACCGCCAGTATCGTACGATACACTTACAGGAAGATTATGTTGCTAGTGCAGACAAGAAATAAAGCGTATAACTCTGCGAAAAGCGGTCGAGCAAAACATGAAACTAACCCTAGCTTTGCAGGTGGGTATCAAACAAGTTGAATTATGTACATAACTCAACCACTTCTAATCAACTACCTGTTTCAGGGGATTCCCCTAAACGCCATGTCATAGTGAGAATCTGACTTGTTAAACAAGCGACCGTCGCCTTGAAAAAGTGTCATTTTTTTCTTGTTAAAAAGTTAATCTAATTCAAGTAAAGAGAAACATAACGCTTGAAAGCCAACTGCAGGTATTGTCCGCGTCAGAAGCGTTCGAAATCAAAGAAGCAGACCAGTCGGCACGTCTTTGCTCAAAGTGAGGTCAGAATTCATTAGAGATTAGATAAAATTTAATGAGGCTTATCGACAACGTTTGTGAGGGCCAAATACCGCTGTATTGAAACTTTCGCTTTCGATTCTTTTGGTTTAGTTTTCATTTTCTGTTGGGATACCCGTTTTATTCATTGGGCAGTTCCTTAATGATGTACGGTTGTCCCCGATAATGGATGGCTCTACGACGTTTTTTGGTCATGGGCTTTCCCTTTGTGTTTAGATGTTTACCCGATTCAGTTTGCTCGAAACTGCTTTCTCGAAGGGAAATTGCCTAAGAGAATTGCTTTTTTGAAGGTTCGAAGTTCCCTGCTAGCTGTTCTCTATTTATAACAGTCTGTACATATTTTTACGCCTTTTGATTCCAGAAACAGAAATGTCGCTGACACGAGACACGAAGCAGTGAAGTTGAAGCAACATCACAAGAATTACCATAGTCATAATCTTACATCTATTCTTTCGTTTTTGTCCTTACATCTGATAAATTCGTAGGTCAAAAATATATTTATATGCGATCACGGTCTCTGGGCATTGGTTTCAGAAGGAGTATTATTTTGTTTGCTTTTCGTCAACAGGTTACAGTTCTTTACAGGGAGTCCCCTTTTCCATCATGTCACGAAAATAACAAAGTTTTTATTTTGATATTCATTTGTATTCTCCCTTCTTTTCCCATCTGTATTCACGAAATTTTGTGTTGAAACTACCGTGATACATACTGCTTGCCAAAAAGCCAAGGTTCAGAAACTTTTACAGACGAAAATATCAAAAACTGAACCGTTCCATTAATTCCTTCTATGCACGCCACTATGCACGCTTCAGAATAAGCACGAACCAAGAATGGGTCAAGGGTAAACATACACTATAACTGGGGAATATACATCAAATCGGTATTTATTGGTAAATGCGATGACGTCACCTTCAGCGGAAGCTTTTATTAGTAGTTGTAAAAAGATTGGTACACGGATATTTCGATCTAAACATTGTTGCCTATGTCAGTATGTGTGTTGCAGCTTTTACCGATGTTAAGTTCGTCGATCGGCTCGACGAACGATTAGCTTGTCCAATCTGCAAGAATGTTTTCAACGAGCCATGGCAGACCTCCTGTGGACACAGATTTTGTAGAAATTGTTTGGATCCTCTAATTAGGTAGTTAATTATAAAAGAAGATATTTTTTATTGTATAATCGATCAGTTCATCCTCAATTTTTCTACTACTCTCAAACTCGATCGAGTAAGTAGTTNAGTAACAACATTCCGAAAAATAACTGAGGAGCTCCGCTTTTAGGCTGGCCTAAATCTATATATTATTTATCACATCTACTAGTATTTTGTTAGAAGTACAAGGACGTACCATACAATGTGCGCAAGTATTACCTGCAACCCACCGATAATTGCGTAATGTTTTATTGGGGATTTATCATGAGTTAGGCAATCTGAGCTGAAATTCTCCCAAGTGGTAATACAGCGCCTGATTGTAACTGTTGTCGCTGGTTTTAGTTCTCTCCTGCCTTCCTCGACATCACTGTCCTCTGGTGATCCTAGCGCCGGTACCTGTAGCGGTAAGGATGATGATCCCGACGCAAAATTGCTCTGCGCGCTTGCCCCGACGCAGTCAAGGAAGTGCGTATTCATAACTAAACCTTTACGTGCAGGAATTAACGCTTGCCAAGGAATTCTGCTGAAGCTTACCTTGCAGTTTTGAATTTTGTCACGGACGACAGTCAACCTGTTATAACCTGATAAAAACGCGTTAGAAAAACAAAAACAAAAACTAAAATATGTACACTGGAAGGTCTAAGAAACGATATCAACCCGGGGATTCGAACTGTGCGTTCCACTTCCGATGTTCCGCCAAAGTTAGATTTGAACCAGGACAGGACCAGCAGCGAGTTCTATGTATACCGCCGGTATCGTTACACTTACAGGAAGATTATGTTGCTAGTGCAGACATGAAATAAAGCGTATAACTCTGCGAAAAGCGGTCGAGCAAAACATGAAACTAACCCCAGCTTTGCTGGTGAGTGCCAAACAAGTTTAATTATGCACATAACTCAACCACTGGTAATCAATCAACTACCTGTTTTAGGGGATTTCCCTAAACGCCATGTCATGGTGAGAATCTGACCTGTTAAACAAACGACCGTCGCTTTTAAAAATTGTCTTTTTTTCTTGTTAAAAAGTTAATGTAATTCAAGTAAAGAGGAACATAACGCTTGATAGCCAAGTGCATGTACTGTCCGCTTCAGAAGCGCTCGAACTTAAAGAAGCAGACCAGTCGGCACGTCTTTGCTCAAGGTGAGATCAGAATCATTAGGGATGGAACAACGTACGTTGAAAATTCAATGAGGCTTATCGAGAACGTTCGTGAGGGCCAAATACCGCTGTATTGAAACTTGCTTTTGATTATTTTGGTTTAGTTTTCATTTTCTGTTGGGATACCCGTTTTATTCATAGGTTAGTTCTTAATGATATTTTGTTGTCGCTGATAATGGCTTCACTATGACGTTTTTTGGTCACCGGCTTTCCCTTTGTGTTTAGATGTTCAAGGCCCGATTCAGTTTGTTCGAAATTGCTTTCTCGAGGGGATATTGCATAAGAGAATTGCTTTCTCGAAGGTTTGAAGTTCCCTGTTAGCTCTCTATTTATAACAGTCTACATATTTTTACATCTTTTGATCAGAAACAGAAACGTCGCTGATGCGAAGCACGAAGCTGTGAAGTTGGAGCAACATCAGAAGAATTACCATAGTCATGATCTTAAACCTATTCTTTTGTTTTTATCCTTACATCTGATAAATTCGTAGGTCAAAAATATATTTATATGCGATCACGGTTCCTGGGCATTGCTTTCTGAAGGGAGTATTCTTTTGTTTGCTTTTCTTCAACAGGTTACAGTACGTTACGGGGAGTCCCCTTTCCGCTGTGACGGTTCTGTCATGTCACGAAGTTTTTATTTTGATATTCATTTGTATTTTCACTTCGTTTCCGATCTGTATTCAAGAGATTCTGTGTTGAAACTACCGAAGCCAAGGTTCAGAAACGTACAGACGAAAATATCAAAAACTGAATCACTCCATTAATTCCTTCCATGCATGCCACCATGCACGCTTTTAAACATACACTATGATTGGGGAATAAACCGGAGTGCTTACATTGACGTACAAATTTCCCTTCGTCCTGTTTCCGTTTTAGAGTTAGCTATTTTGTAATTTTCTTTTCTTACCTTCTCCTTCCGTATTTGTTGGCATTTTGGCTTTCTGATGAAAGCGTTGCTTTAAACTCCGTTCAGCATTGCTATTTCGACGTATAGTTTAACCGGCCGGTGTGTGTTGAGTCTAATCACCGGAGGATAACTATTGAACACAGAGACACTCACTTTAGCCACGAACCAATGCGATGTAACACTTGAAAAACTAGCATAGTTTGCCTTTGACCCCATCAAGCCGGTATTTACTGGTAAATATGATGATGTCACCTTCACGGGAAGCTTTTATTAGTAGCTGTAATAAGATCGGCGCGCACACGGATATTTCGATCTAAACATTGTTGACTATGTCAGTATGTGTGTTGCAGCTTTTACCGATGTTAAGTTCGTCGATCGGCTTGACGAACGATTAGCTTGTCCAATCTGTAAAACTGTTTTCAACGAGCCATGGCAGACTTCCTGTGGACACAGATTTTGTAAAAACTGTTTGGATCTTCTACTCAGGTAATTAAATATAAAAGTAGGTAAGTAGACTTAAGAGTCCCTGTCCATAAAAATGGAAAATAACTCGGCAAGGGTCGAAAATTCGATTTCGCTCATATTTTTATGGTAGATAGGCTAGGGCATGANTTGTGAGGGCCAAATACCGCTGTATTGAAACTTTTGCTTCCGATTCTCTTGGTTTAGTTTTCATTTTCTATCGGGATACCCGTTTTATTCATATGGCAGTTCCTTAATGATGTGTCGTTGTCGCTGATAATGGCTTCACTACGACGTTTTCTGGTCATGGGCTTTTCCTTTGTGTTTAGATGTTTACCCGATTCAGTTTGTTCGAAATTGTTTTCTCGAAGGGAAACTACTTAAGATAATTGGTTTCTCGAAGGTTTGAAGTTCCCTGCTAGCTCTCTATTTATAACACAGTCTCACTCTGTACATATTTTTACGTCTTTTGATTCCAGAAACAGCAACGTCGCTGACACGAGGCACGAAGCAGTGAAGTTGAAGCAACATCACAAGAATTACCATAGCCATGATCTTACTTCTATTCTTTTGTTTTTGTCCTTACATCTGATAAATTCGTAAGTCAAAAATATATTTATATGCGATCACGGTTTCTGGGTATTGATTTCTGAAGGGAGTATTCTTTTGTTTCCTTTTCGTCAATAGGTTACAGTATTTTACAGGGAGTCCCCTTTCCGTCATGTCGCGAAAATAGCAAAGCTTTTATATTGATATTCATTTGCATTTTCACTGTGTTTCCGATCTGTATTCAAGAGATTCTGTGTTGAAACTACCGTGATACATGCTGCTTGCCAAAAAGCCAAGGTTCAGAAAGTTACAGACGAAAATATCAAAAACTAAATCACTCCATTAATTCCTTCCATGCATGGCACCATGCACGCTTCAGAATAAGCACAAACCAAAAGTGGGTCAAGGGTCAAGGGGAGGGGGGAAGGGGGGGGGAAAGTAAACATACACTATAATTGGGGAATATACCGGATTAAGTCGTGCTAGCAGTAACGTTTCCGTTTCAGAGTTATCTATTTTGTAATTTTCTTTTCTTACCTTTTGCTTCAGTATTTGCTGGCATTCTGGCTTTCTGATGAAAGCGATGATTTAAACTCCGCTCAGCATTGCTGCTCAGATCACCGGAGGATAACTACTGAACACAGAGACGCTCACTTTAACCACGAACCAATGCGATGCAACACTTGAAAGACTAGGATAGGATAAGATATATCTTCACCCGAGTTGACATCAAACCGGTAGTTACTGGTTAATGCGATTTCGTCACCTTCAGCGGAAGCTTTTATTAATAGCTGTAAAAAGATCGGTACACGGATATTTCGATCTAAACATTGTTGACTATGTCAGTATGTGTGTTGCAGCTTTTACCGATGTTAAGTTCGTCCATCGGTTCGACGAACGATTAGCTTGTCCAATCTGCAAAAATGTTTTCAACGAGCCATGGCAGACGTCCTGTGGACACAGATTTTGTAAAAATTGTTTGGATCTTCTGCTCAGGTAATTAAATATAAAAGTAGGTATGGATACTTAATAAGTACGTCCTCTATAGACTTACTAAACTTGATCTTGTCAGTAATGAGAAGAACAGTGACTGCAGCCTGTGAACAGGTTTCCAATTTGATTATAGGACAAAAA